CAGCACGAGACGAACTTCAACGCGAACTCCAGGGAGGACAACTTCACGCTGACCATGGCAGCGGACGACCCGGTGCAAGTGGCGCTGGCGACCTCAGAGGACAGCTACAACAGGAAGGGGAAGCAGTCGAGGGAGGAGGCGGAGGAGGGGGAGTACAAAGGCCACCCGGACGGGAAGAAGCCAGACTTCCTCCTCAGGGCCGTCATCTTCAGGATCACCGAGGCCGCGGAGGCGAAGTCCCAAGAGGTAAAGGCCGCGGCCGGCAGCGGGGCGATGGCGCAGCAGGCCGCCGCGGCGCTCGACACCCTGGCCAAGTACAAGGCGATAGCACAGAACCCCCAGGCGAGGGTCGTGGCGACGAGGTGTTTCCACGTGACCGTGAAGCCGAACGACGGCTGGATGGACGAAGAGAAGGAGGACGACGTCCGGTGGATTTTCGCGATGAACTCGCATCGCGAGCTGAAGGACGCTCTCGAGACGCTCCGGGTCAACGGGTGCCTGGCCGCGGCACGCTTGAATCTTGGCTACGACCACGGCCCCAAGAGCGGCGTCGCCAAGGAGATCGAGACGACAGTCTTCCGGCGGAAGGGGGCCAAGGGCGATTCGAAGAAGAAGGCTAAGAAGAGGTGAGCAGGGCTGCCGACGGGGACTCGCACGTTGTATCACAAAGTGCATGGTCAAGGGAAGGTTCCCTTCGAAGCTGGGGGGGGGGCCTCACTCATCCAGAGGGGTGGTGAGCCGCCCTCACAGAGCCGCCTTCGCAGAGGCGGAGGCGCGTGTGGACGGGATTGACGGGGTTGCCGGAGCCTGGAAGAAAGTGATGGCTGCCGCAGTCGTGTGCCTTCTATGCACGTCTCTGTGTGCCCGAAATTTTGTATTTTCCAATCATTCAATATGATAGCGCCGGTACTCGGTAGAACAAGCGGGCCCAACCACGAGATCTCCAGACGATGATGGGGGATACTGTCGCGAAAAAAAAAAAAGACCTCGTCGCCCGAGATCTGGCCGCGTGGGCGCCAGAACCACGGGATCGGGGAAGGCGCTCCCGAAACAGGAGGCCGGTGCCGCCCGATGTGGCGGCGGAGCGCGCCGGTTCTTCACGGGAGCGGAACCCGTCGCTGATTATCAGCCTCGAACGTATCCCTATCCCGAAGATTGACACGCCAAAAAGCGATGATAATCTTAGGGATGCACCCTCAAAAAATAAGGGGAATCCCTAAGATTGGCATCGTGATGAGGAGATGCCCAGCATAGGGATAGGGATATGTTCCAGGCTGGTAAGCTAACGCACGCACTTAGATCCACTTCTGCGCTTCCTCGGGACTGGAGCGGGAGACCCGGAACCCCGCAGGGGGCGACTCCGAAGGGATGAACACGCAGAGGGCACCCAAAGGGCCCTCGGAAGAAGGCTGCGGAAGGCCTCCGGAGGCTTTCGGAGGCCCCAAGAGGGCTTCAGAGGGCTTCGGGAGGCCTCAGGAAGCTTTCGGAAGCCTCCAGAGACCGGAGACCTCCGGAGACCTCCACGAACCTCCAGGGACCTCCCCACAGAAGGCACCTCTACTTAGAAGCGAAAGCGGCAAAAACATCAAGTTTCGAGGTCCGTCCGCGCAGATTTGACGGGTCGACGCTGGACCCCCGTAGCGGCTCCTCCGACGCCGCCCCTGGCGCGCCTCGCACAACTGGAGGGGGGCTTTCAGCGCCGACCCGAGAAATCGGGGTGGACCTCGGAAAGCTCACGCATACGATATCTGTTGTTGGATCTGGGAGGGCGTACGAACCATGCCAGGGTCCAGAATGGCCCTGGCTGGGCACTGTTGTGGTGAATAGACGCTTGCTGTGGAACCATACCTGACCCCTGCCAGAAACGTGTAGCACGGCTAGCATGGGGCATAGGAAAAGGCGCCACTCCCCACCTCCGGCCTCCTTCTCACCCGCAGGGTGATGTTGTCCGCACGCGCCTCGCTGATTGCAGAGCGGAGGGCCGTGCTGCCAGTGAGTGTGCAGCTGCATTTCTGGCGTGGCGCTGTTTTCCCTGACCATGGACATCGCAGATGATGGCACGACGTCCATGTGGGGATCTGCAGAAGGATCGCGCAGCTCTGCATACTGGGCAATGCGGATGTAGGAGCATGGCTGTGCTCATGACTTAAACTCACATCGTGAAATCAAAGCATGTAAACGAACCTTCAGACAGTCCCTAGGCTGAGCCTCCAAGTCGTCCTCCCTCTCTCTGCTCCGACAAGAAGCAGGCAGATCCCGAAACCACGGGAAAAGAGTCTACCCCCAGGCAATGCTGCGCTACAGCTCCCGGCACGAGGCCGCTTAGGCCTCGCAATATCAGATGCTGCCCAGCCCATCCCTCTTTTAAGGCCACCTCTTTCTCCTCATCGCCATCATCAAAAGAATCAATCACTAATGATAGCAATACTCGTGATCATCATCAGCAGCAGCATCATCACCACCACCTCCACCATCACAGTCACCATCACTGTCACCATCAGCATCAGCATCACCAGTGGCATCATTACCCTTTCCTCCGCTCCACTTCCTTATAGATCAGTCATCCTTGTCGCCCACCGAGACTTCCTCACCACTTCTGCCTCTGAAGTTCGAAATTTGCAACAGCTACAAAATGGAATACAGATGGGCTTCAACATGTGGCTCCCGCCTTAGCACCGCGCACGTTCGTTATGACAGCTTCTGGTAGTTACAAGGATGGAGGGCGGGTGGTTCTCAAAGTTAGGCTCTCGCCTTGGCGTCGCGCGCATTCGTCTTCACAGCTTCCAGCAGCTACAAGGATGAAGGGCGGTTCCTTCTTAAATGTTCGCCAGCCAAAACAGTGAGATGTCGCACTGTGGATGTGTAAGCTATGTAGCGTAATCTGTAAGGTGTGGTGACCTATGTGGTGCAAGCTGTGTGGTGTAAGCTCTGTGGCGCGATATAAGTGGTGCAATATCGGTGGCGTGAGCTATACGATACAAACTGTGCGGTGTAAGCTATGGTGCGCGCTATCCGTATGCAGTAGAATATGTGTGGTGTGAGCTACGTGGAGTAAGCTGTGTTGTGCAGGTCCGGCAACGAAGCGAAACCTCGCCAGACCCACCCAGCGCACGGGGCGCCCACGAGGGGGCAGGGGAGCGGCAGCGAAGCGAAACCTCGCCGGACCCACTCAGCGCACGAGGCGCGCCACGAGGCGCCCACGGGCGGCAGCGTGGCGAGACCTCGCGGGACCCAGCGCACAGGGCGGCCACGAATCGCCAACGGGCGGCAAAGCGGCGCACACCTCGCCGGAACCACCCAGCCAGCGCACAAGGCTGCCATGAGGCGGCAAGGGGCGGCAACGTGGAACATCCTCGCCGGATCCATGCAGCTCCTCAGTGGCGGAACGCCCAAGTGCAAGCACTGTTTGGGAGCATGGGATCTCGCGTGAGACATCTTCGCAATACCACAGGCGAAACATTTTGCAACAGCTACACGGACGGAGAGCGCCCTGCCCCCTTTTCACAGTGGGGTTCTCGCTCGAGGCCGCCCCATATTTGGCCAGACCTGTAATTGTATGTAACGGCTACACGAAGGCGGGGGGGGGTCCTTTTCAAAACGGGGCTCTCGCTTGAATGGCGCGGCAGACCCATGGGGCTTCCGTTTTCGAGGGGAGCGCTTCCCACAGCGGGCAGGAATATCTAGTACAGTGACCTGCGAGGAGTGGACAGCGCATGGCAGCAGTATCGCTGACGCACCGGAATTTACTCGGGTCTTCTTCCTCTCCGTGCTCCTCCTCTGGAGAGGCTAAGAAGTACCAATACCGCAACTGACTCCCTGGACCGTTCCTGGGGTGCGCTCTGAGAAAAACTTCGATACAAATCCAGCCGTGGCGACGAAGGCCTCCCAGAGGGCAAGAAAAGGCGCAAACGACGGACGGGCAGCGGCGGTATCAGTACATTATCCTCCTCTGGTCCTCCTTCTCCTTCTCCTCCATCCCTTCTCTTTATAGATAACTCTGGTCCTTCTCCTCCTCTGGTCCTCCTCCTCCTCTGGTCCTCCTCCTCTGGTCCTCCTCCTCCTCCTCCTCCTCCTCCTCCTCCTCCTCCTCCTCCATCCCTTCTACTTGTAGATAACGCCTTTCCCTCGCACACCCGACGTGTCTGTAGGGCGGGCCGGGCGTTTCGCCGGAGACTTCCACACCAATCCTGACCCTGGAGATTAAACATTGGCAACAGCTTCACAGATGGAGGGCGGTTGGTCTTCAAAATGTGGCTCTCGTCTTAGCGCCGCCCACAGTTGTCTTCAATTTCGAAGAGCTTTGCGTATTGAGGCCGGCTCCTTTTCAAAGTGCGGCTCTCGCTCTAGCGCCGCGCACATGGTTTTTCGGCTCCTTTCCAAAATGTGGCTCTCGCTCTAACGCTGCGCATATTCTTTGTTCTGCAAACTGCCATAAGTTTCACTGATTCCCATGGTCAACGTACCAGAAACGGTGTATTGGAAACATCTGGATTATGAGGGCGCAACAATTACTTTGTTTTACGGTGTTGAAGTCCGGGAAATGGCGCCCTGGCACGATTCGGAATCGTCAAGACGCAACAGTCAGGTTCATTTGTGGCGTTGTAATCCCGAGAATACTGTTTTGGCATGCCTCAGGGTCTTCAAACGGTTGTCTTCCAACGAGGCAGTGGAAGGTAATCCTTGTAGGGGCCTATGAAGAGGGAGCTTAGAGGGAGGGTTTATCTCAACATCTTTGATGACTATTGCATTTACACTGGTCTTCCTCTTCATCCTACTCTTCATCCTCCTCCTCTTCATCCACCTCCTCCTCCTCCTCCTGCTCCTCCTCCTCCTGCTCCTCCCCCTCCTCCTCCTCCTCCTCCTCCTCCTCCTCCTCCTCCTCCTCCTCCTCCTCCTCCTCCTCCTCCTCCTCCTCCTCCTCCTCCTCCTCATTACTGATTCAAGTGCTCTCCTCCCCCACACGAGCAAATCGAGGAAAACGAGGCCGCTGGGGCCCCCGCATGAGTTGCATCGCCTCCGTCCACCCCCGGATCACCTGAGCCACGGCGGCCACAGGCTCGGGCAACATGGAGAGGAGGCCGCGGCACCATGCCAGGCAGGAGCCACGTGGAGAGAATCTCTCCACAGACACCCCGACGTCGCAGTGTTGGTTTCAACGTCGGGGAGAAGGAACTATATCATTGACACGCAGCAACAGTACATCCGTCAGCGTGCTACTGTTGAACAACGCAGAAGATATCACCGCAGACATCCGACGCCGGGTTGTTGTGCGCAACGTTGGGCGGAAAAAGCATATCCTTGACCACGCCGACAAGGGGAATGCATGAACGCGTCGCCGTTGAATAACCACCACGCATCCGGAAACAAGAAGGGAGCGATACGCTCGCTGACAGACTCGCGACGGCGGCGCGTCATTGATACTCATTATTTTCCCTCCCGAAACATGGCCCCCAAAGGTCCTGGACCCCTTCCTGGGGACTCACTCCGCAGGACCCACCAGCAGTCCTCGAAAGTGGCGACAGTTTCGCGCAGCCCCCCAGGGACGGCGAGGTCTACCTCAGATCTGCGCGGTGCCCCACTCCGCAGGACCCACCAGCAGCCCTCGAAAGTGGCGACAGTTTCGCAGATCGCAGCCCCCCAGGGACGGCGAGGTCTACCTCAGACCTGATCTGCGCGGCGCCTCACTCCGCAGGACCCACCAGCAGCCCTCGAAAGTGGCGACAGCTTCGCAGATCGCAGCCCCCCAGGGACGGCGAGGTCTACCTCAGATCAGCGCGGTGCCTCACTCCGCAGGACCCACCAGCAGCCCTCGAAAGTGGCGACAGTTTCGCAGATCGCAGCCCCCCAGGGACGGCGAGGTCTACCTCAGATCTGCGCGGTGCCTCACTCCGCAGGACCCACCAGCAGCCCTCGAAAGTGGCGACAGTTTCGCAGATCGCAGCCCCCCAGGGACGGCGAGGTCTACCTCAGATCTGCGCGGTGCCTCACTCCGCAGGACCCACCAGCAGCCCTCGAAAGTGGCGACTTTCGCGCAGCCCCCCAGGGACGGCGAGGTCGATCCGAAGGGACGGCGACCTCAGATCTGCGCGGTGCCTCACTCCGCAGGACCCACCAGCAGCCCTCGAAAGTGGCGACAGTTTCGCAGATCGCAGCCCCCCAGGGACGGCGAGGTCTACCTCAGATCTGCGCGGTGCCCCACTCCGCAGGACCCACCAGCAGCCCTCGAAAGTGGCGACCGTTTCGCAGGTCGCAGCCCCCCAGGGACGGCGAGGTCTACCTCAGATCAGCGCGGTGCCTCACTCCCCAGGACCCACCAGCAGCCCTCGAAAGTGGCGACAGCTTCGCAGATCGCGGCCCCCCAGGGACGGCGAAGAGAGGGCAGGAGGAGGCGGGAGGCGGAAGGAGGGACGCGACCACACCCCTCTATTCAAAGCGAATGCCCAACCAAGGAGGGTTGGGAAAAAGAACTCCCCCCGGGGCTTCGGCCCAGCGCGCCGGCCACCCACAATGGCCCGCCCGTTGCGCCACGAACGTCTCCAACACGGCCTCGATGGCCTCCAAGACGTCCAAGATGGCCTCCAAGTGCACCCAAGATTGTCCAAGGAGGCCTCCAAGACGGTCCAAGAGGGTCCAAGCTACCTCCAGGTCCACCCAAGAAGCCTCCAGAAGGGCCCACGATGGCCTCGAGATGACCGAAGACGGCCCAAGAGGCGCCCAAGAGGTTTTCAAGACGGCCCAAGAGGCCTCCAAGAGGTCCTCAATGAAGGCCCGAAGAGGCCAAAATCAGTGTTTTTCCGAAGGTTTTTTAAAGATGTGACCTTCCCAAAACCCAATACGGCCCATGAGGTCCCAAGATTGCCCCAAGATCGCCAAAGAGGCCTCAAAGCTGGCCCCAGAACGGCTCAAGAGGCCCCCAAGACAGACCCAAGAGGGCCCCAAGATGGCCCAAGAGGCCTCCAAGACGCCCAAGATGACCTCCAAGACGGCCCTGGAGCACCCCAAGAGGGCCCCAAGTCGGCCCAAGGAGACCTCCAAGACGGCTTCCCACGGCGTCAGACGGGCCAGGAGCCCACCAAGACGGCCCGAGATGGCTTTAAGATGGCCCAGGACGGCCCAAGAGGCCACCAAGAGGTCTCCAAGACGGCCCGAGAGGCCTCCAGAAGGGCCTCCAGGAAGGCCCGAAGAGGCCAAAATCAATGATTTGCAATAGATTGCTGAAGTAGTTTGGCATTTGCCTCTTTTTCTGCCTTTCGACGGCCCGAGACGGCCCAAGAGCCCCCAAAGATCGCCCAATTATCGCCCAAGAACCCTCCAGTATAGCCCCAGAACGGCCCAAGAGGCCCCCAAGACGGCCCCAAGATAACCCCCAAGACGGCCCATGAGGCCTCCAAGACGCTGAAGATGACCTCCAAGACGGCCCTGGAGGGCCCTAAGTCGGCCCAGAGAGGCCTCCAAGACGGCTTCCGACGGCGTCAGGCGAGCCAGGAGCCCACCAAGACGGCCCAAGATGGCTCCAAGATGGCACAAGACGGCCCAAGAGGCCCCCAGACGGCCCAAGAGGCGCCCAAGAGGGCCTCCAGGAAGGCCCCAAGAGGCCTATGCAATTGATATTCCATTTAAGGATTTTGACATTTGCTTCTCTTCGGCCGTCGGATGGCCCGAGACGGCCCAAGAGCCCCAAAGATTGCCCCAAGATCGCCCAAGAGGCCTCCAAGATGGCCCAGAACGGCCCAAGAGGCCCCCCAAGACAGTCCCAAGAGGCCCCCAAGACGGCCCAAGAGGTCTCTAAGACGCCCAAGATGACCTCCAAGAGTGTCCCAGGAAGCTCCCAGGAGGCCCCAAGAGTGTCCCCAGAGGCTCCCAAGATGCCCTCCTGCTCCTCCTCCTCCTCCACCACCTCCTCCTCCGCCTCCTCTTGATTTTCCCCCCCATCCTCCCCAAAATATTCCAGGAAGGTTTTCCACAAAGGCCGAGTGAACACATGGTCCGATAGCTTGGCAGACACGGACACGGATACGGATACGGATATACGGATATACGGATATACGGATCCCCTTGCGCGGTGCGGCCCCGGCGGGGCTGGGAAGATTGCGCCGTGGCGCGGAAGAGAACGCCCACCTTCTCGATCCCCTCCTCCACGCCCTTCCTTAAACCACACTCCCACACCACATTACCAAGCGACCCTCTTAAACAACCACTTTATTGAACCACGTCTCTCAAGATTGTGCCACAACGCTTGGCCACATGGCGACTACAACTGGGAGGGGGCGGCGGTGATTCGCCGTGGGCGTCTTCGATATCGACATCCACCGCCGACCGAGATCCCCGAAGAGCGATCCACCGGGCCTCGGACATACGGGACCCGACACCCCCTCGTCGTGAAACATCGACGGCGGAAAACTGTGTTCAATTTTGGGCCTCCGGGGGCCCGCGCCGGGCCCTGGGAACGTCAACGGCCCAGGATGGCAAGCCCATCCCCAGGAAGGGGTCCGGGACCTCTGGGGAGCGACCTCCGGAGAACGGGCATGATCAGTCGGCATCGAATCGGAAAATCGGGTCGCACACAGACACGCGTCGGACCGTCCTGCAGCTCGGAACAAAATCGGGACGGCTGCCGCCAGGATGCAGAGCGGCGCCGCGCGAGCATCGGGTCACACCAGAGCATCGAGATATCGGAGCCGAATCAGACCGAGCAGGCCGAATCGGCATTAGAAAATAAGTGCAGAATCATAAACTGTCGGAGCTTCGCGCGGGCTTATTCGATGGTCCCTGGGTACCCCTCGCCAGGGAGGACCCAGCGCATCTCCAAGAAAGCCACGCGGAAGTCCAAATGTTTATGTCTGTGCCGCTTTTCTTCTTCGAGATGCAGAATCGAATAGATCGGGATCGAAACGGACCCTGGGTCCATTTCGGTGCGTCTTTCGCCTCCGCGCCTCCTTACCCTACTCTCTCTCATCCGCAACTTCCTCCTCCTCCTCCTCCGCCTCCACCTGCTCCTCCCCATCATCGTCATCATCATCAGCAGCATCATCATCAACATCTTCGTTGACGTCATCATCATCATCATCATCATCATCATCATCATCATCATCATCATCATCATCAGCCGCAGCAGCAGCAGCAGCATCAGCATCAGCATCAGCATCAGCATCGTCATCATCAGCATCATCAGCATTATCATCAACACCACCATGGCCATCAGCACCATACATTGAATAGTCATGGACGTCATGGTCCTCCTCCTCCTCCTCCTCGTCATCATCATCGCCCGCAACATGAGTATCGTCAACGCCACCACTACTATAACAGTTACTTCCATGATCGTCATCATCATCATCATCAGCATCATCACTTTCATCATCATCATCATCATCAACAACAACATCACCGTCATAGTTATGTCACCATTACCAAAAACACCATCATCATAATCAGCATCATCATGACCATCATCATCGTCATCGTCATCGTCATCGTCGTCATCACTATCATCATCAACAGCATGACCGTCATCACCACCATCCTCATCATGATCGTCATCATCAGCAGCATCATCATCGGCAGCATCATCATCATCAGCATCATCAGCATCATCAGCATCATCAGCATCATCAGTGTCGACATTATCATCCTCACCACCATCAGCATCACTATCATCGCCGTCAGCATCAACATCATCGGCATCATAATCAGCATCATCATCATCAGCATCATCATCATCATCATCAGCATCATCATCATAATCAGCATCAGCATTATCATCCTCGCCATCTCAGCAGCAGCAGCATCAGCACCATAATCACCATGACCATCATCACAAATCGAAGAGACCCTACCATCATCATGATCATCATGATCATCTTCATCATGATCACCATCATCACCGTTATCGGAATAGTCATCATCAGCGTCATCATCACCATCATCAGAATCATCGCCATCAACATCACACCTACAACATTTACAAACATGATCGGCATCATCATCGTAATCAGCATCATCGTAATCAGCATCATCACCAGCTTTATCATCATCGCCGCTGTCACTAAGATCATCGGCACCATCGTCATCGTTATCATTACCCTCATCGTCAGCATCATCATTATCACCATGACCATCATCATCACAAATCCGAGGAGTCCCATCAGCATGGTCATCCTGATCACCCTCATCATCAG